GAGAACACAAGCCAGTGTCCACGTTTAACAGTGGTCATTTAAAAATGACACCAAGGCTGTCTCTGTACTGTGGGCTGGTCTGAAACAGACTGAAACTGCTCACAGAGGTCATCTGAGGACAAATGAGATTGTAATTGAATGGCAGATTGGTTAACCAAGATCTTTGTAGGGAAGATGAGAACTAGGATGGTAATTTGCAAATTCAGTGGTATCTGTTAGATTTTTTTTTAAGCAGAGAAGAGTAATGCTGGGTGGATATATTCCTAGTGTAGTTCAGTTGGGTAGCTTTCTTCTTTTTTTCAGCATGGAATAAACCTATTACTTGTTCCTTATATTCCTAGTGGCCCATTAAGACAAGCAGGGAGGAGAGCTGTCTGGAAACTACAAGTTCCAGAATCCTCAGCTGCCAGAACAGGAAGTGAGTCCCAGCCGAGCCCCCCTGCCTGTGCTGTAGCAGTTTTCTGTTAAAAAAGGCTTCCTGTCAGGGGCTGAGGGGGACTGGAGTCTAGTGAGGGAATTGTGAGGAAGTCCTGCAGGTTAGCAGGAAGTAACTGTAGTTTGCAAAGGAACAATAGGTTTATTCCACGCTGAAAAGAGAAGAAAGAAAACAACGTTTCGGCCCTGGGGCCTTTTTCAGGTGTGAGAGTAACCGTAGTCTGACCTGGATTTTGGACCCCAGCCTAGAAAATGATGATGAAGTAATGAAGATTATGTTTCTGTGTATTCGGAAACTTTCACAGCCCGACAGAGCCCGAGCTCTAAGCGAGGGGCTTGAGGTTTTTTTGGGGGTTCTGTGCTGTGATAAAGGGTGAAGATGAAGTCTGATCTCAGCGTGGTGGGGAGAGGAGCAGGAAGTGCCTGTGGTCCTGGCCCGCCTCTTCAGACCCAGAGGCTCCAGCAGAGCTTTGGAATACACTTCCAACTGGAGCCAGTAGTCTAGAGAAACGGGGATCAGGGCTCCGAGTGTGTACAGAAGTGCATCACCCTGTTGAGACTTCCCCTGCAGCTGGAGTGATGGTGTCCAGGGAGCGGCGCTGTGTCCCCACGGGCCCGAGAGCACAGCCTTGAGCGAGGGGGCTAGGACAGCCCGTTCCAGACCACCAGGAGCCGATGATATCTCTGATCCGCAATATCGACTCCCTACTGAAGAGGAGTCCAGCAGGCTGGCCGCTGATATCTCTGATCCTGGATATGGACTCCCTACTGAGGAGTCACCTGGATTTACAATCTAGCAGCAGTTGAGGCTAGTGACAGTTACACACGTCTCCCCCTTCAACTGCTATGTGTACCCCAATATACCATGCACGCGGCATGGGGTGCTCTCCTTGACTACAGTTCTGAGGTTAACAAACACAGCAGCAAACCAGAAACCCACTCTGTGACACAAGCTTCCAGCTCCCAGAGCACAAACGCAAACTAAGGAACAAACAATATTATCTCTGCAAAACAGCCCGGCAGAGAGAAATAGCAGCCAGAAGCTCTGCCCCCACCCTCGCGCACACACCCACGTGCAGACACACTCACACTCGCGTGCAGACACACTCACACTCGCGCACACACCCATGTGCAGAAACACTCACACTCGTGCAGACACACTCACATTAGCGCACACACATGTTCAGACACACACTCACACTCACGCACACCCACGTGCAGACACACTCACACTCGCACACACACCCACGTGCAGACACCCACGTGCAGACACACTCACACTCGCGCACACACCCACGTGCAGACACACTCACACTCATGCACACACATGTTCAGACACACACTCACGCACACACACGGTCAGACACACAGTCACACACCCACGTGCAGACACACTCACGCACACACACGGTCAGACACACACGTGCAGACACACTCACACTCACGCACACACACATAAGCCCACATGCAGACACACTCACTCAGGCACACACACACACAGCCTCACGTACGCACAGAACTACACATGCACACACCCCAGTGCACAGACCCCCCCCCCTTCTTCCCCACCCAGATCACTAGAACAGGTTGTGTAGTTGCACATTGACCTGTGAATATCCGCAACAGACAGACGATACAGCACCGAGTCCAGCACGTCGGACAGCTCTCAGACAAATCTCCCCGCCTGCTGGCTGCTGCTGCTCTTCACTCTCACTTTCTAGCTTATTGTTAAATCACTAAGAGCATGACAACATGTCACCACCACACGCTTTCACACAGAATTCCCAGCAGCCTCTCCCCATATTCCATACGTGCCCAGTTAGGAACAGCCTGGGGCACTGGAGGAGAGACGTTTTACCATTCCTAGCACCCTGCATCTCAAAAAGATTTATGCCTCACTTCTTGGCAATGATAGAAGTAAAAGATATTTCTGAAACGAAGACCTGAGTGTGGAAAAAAAACCTTCAAAATTCAAAACAACAGGTTCAATTCAGGATTCAATCGTTGTACATAATTAAGAGCTCATTTGGAAGGTGGGGCTATTCCAGGACCAGCACTGAGAAACGCTGGTATGGACAGCGCTCCCAACAGAGGCCAGCAGCGCCCCCGTGTGGGCTCCACCGGTACTGCAGGCTCTCTGGCTTTATATTAACCCTTCGCCCGCATGTCCTGCCAGTGGTGCAAATTCCAGGAGAGGGTGCGGTTTTGCTTCTCTATAATCGGTCAGGATTGGTCCCAGCAGTAATCTGAGGTTTTGCTTCTCTAAACTCAACCTGGAATGGTCCCAGCAGTAGAATAATTTAATAATAATAATAATAATTACTTATACTTATATAGTGCTTTTCTGGACACTCCACTCAAAGCACTTTACAGGTA